GCGTTGAGAGCGGCCTGCTGAGTGGGAGCAAATGCACATACACACCAGAGGTATGGTGGTTATAGGATAAAGTGCTGACGGACAGTATGAGGCTCTGTAGAGCTACACAGCAGCACAGTAATGGCTTTAAGCTTTATTAAGTTTTCCATTCGGTGTACGTGTAGGCGTCGTTTCACCGGCGCAGTTAATGTTTTAAACACTTAAGAGATGAGTTTAATCTTCATTAGTCTACTTGATAATAACATGTAGTTTAACTTGAAGCACAGAGGACGCACACATGGAAGCTGTGAGTCATTTGTTGATGTCTGGGCACAAGGCGTTCTTAGAAAGTATTTTTAATGTTTTTCACTTGTTTTGACCTCAAACTCACGACTGTTCTCATTTTTCATCACACTTCTCAAATTAAGAGGTAAATTGATGGTTGTGCAGTTGGCAGTCAACTTTTATCAGCGTCACAAGAGACAAAACGCACTTTCAATCCCAGAATATTTGGGCTCAGTCTTTACTTTATGGTAGTACAGTGAGGTAATGTAGATGCCGCTTTTGCAATAAAACTTTATGACTGCTGAGGAAACCGGTGCAGCTATTTATACTTGACATCTTTGACCTCCAGGCCTGAACAGAACTGAAATTTCATATGTGATCTTAAAGATGTCATGCGGCTGTATCATACCTGTCATCACACTGTATTCTGATCTCAAAGGCAAATAGAATTCTAAAAATGAAAAACAGGAGATTCCACATTTTCTCACAGGAAACCATCATGTGACTTTGTGAGATCGCAGGACAGAACAGGCTGAATGAGCCATGGCTAATATTTTACCAGCATGTGGGCTGTGGGTGGTTGTGCCCTGTTCCAGCAGGATGTGGCGACTGACGTTAAGCCAGCCTGATCTTCCCAGAGTCAATCCCCTGAACGGACCAAGACCGGCCCCTCGACACCCGGTCAATGATTAGCACTGAAGTACATTTGAGAGACAAACTGCACTGAGATCATCCTCGTAACAGGTCCAGTCAGAAAGCTGCAGACAGAGTGAAACAGCAAATCCATGGTTCCAAAGGAAAACTGATTCAAAATTCATTTGTGATTCATTTTAACAGCATTCAATTGGATCGGTGAAGTGTTCAGATAATAGCAGTGGAGAGTGATTTCAGCCTAAACATCAACATCTTTGATGAATGAGGCCACTGGATAATCAACTAGCTAAAACTTGTTCAGGTTAACTAAAGCTCACAAAACCCACAAACACCCATTAACATCTGGCTGCGATGTGAATGGAGACAACCAGCGTTCACTCTCAGGTCAAATGACTCTGCAGTAGACAGGTTTTATATCGGCAGTGATGGAAACATGACAACTGCGTTAATGCGCACATTTGCTTCCTCTCTGTTATTATGATGCTTTAATAGCCAAACACATTTGTGTACTTATTGTGTGTTTCATCTTAGGAACAACGTGCAACAGTCATATTTTTCTTTTTTATCCTGTAACACTGGCAAGACAGGCAGGTGAGAGAGCTTCTCAGTTTCCTGCACGCTGTTGATGTCGAACATGATTCACCGAGGAAAATAAAACAGAAAGGTTAACTCCTCTATTGGCAAAACCTGCGTTTATACCCGCTGATATTGATGTGAAGACGTATCACTGTGTGAAAGCGACAGTCGCCTAAAAACAACCGCACTTTATCAGGTCTTTCATAAATTCATTATGAGAGTGAACCACAACGACCTTTTGACCCAAATTTGAAATAACTCAGCAATAAAAAGATGCGGAGAAGAAATCATCTCAGCGACTCCATCCAGTCGACCAATGCCACCACTGTTGAGCGCCACATTTCTTTAAATTTAAATGCTGCAAAACACTGTTTAACTTTTGCATATTGGACTTCTTGTTTTTCTCGCAGAAGATTTAAATGTTCATTTATTCTGTGTGCGATAGATTCTAAATATATCATAAAACGCCTCTGAGGTAGAGGGAGACGGGACGAGGACGGAGCGAGTGTTTGAACGAGACGGCAGGATGAGAGGATTTACAGTAGGCATGTGTACTGTATGTGTAAGAGCGAGTGAGAGAGGTGGACTGTGTTACAGAGAGAGAAAGAGAGAGGAGGGGGGGAGCAGTCACATGCTAAAAGGAGGCGTGGAGGGGGGAGCTGCCCATCAGACCACTACGTCAGGAGTAACGCCTCCCTCCCTCCCTCCCTCCCTCCCTCCACTACAACTCACATGACTGCTGCAGCCCTGTTCTGTAACTCCAGTCACGAGGATAGAGTAGTATTACAATAATCAGCCGGTAGGGGCGAGCAATACACACACACACACCAAAGGATGTGAGGAAGGGAGAGAGAGAGTGAGGGAGAGGGGGGGTGGAACAGCTCTAATAGCCCTGAGTAAATAGTAACATATTAATGCTGCATTTGTACCATAGATAACCTTATCGTTTTACACAAGAAGAAAGAAATGAAGGAGTGATACAGTGAGCACTTTGATTTTCTTTCTGTTCCTCATGCTCAGGTTGCACTTTACCTTTCTGTGTCACTCAAGGACTTTGCAGCGATTCGACACCACAAGTCCATCGAGAAAGATTTTTACTGCAAACACGAGGCAAACGTATGAATAGGAAACTCAATGTTTTTGTCCATTTCGCTATTTTATGCACATTTCTCCAAAATCCAGTCTGACAAATTGCGAATCACTGGAAACGTTGGGCACCACACTTGAATTGAATGAGGATCTTCAATTTACTATTATGTATAATTTATTGGTTCAGTAGCATAACGTCTTTCAGGAGTAATAGGGTCATCACTGAATATATTATGTGAACATGCTCGTGTGTGTTCACATTATAAAGGCTTATCAGATACATGGACTTGGTCTGCAGGAATATTAGAGTGATACCACGGGACATACTAATCAAAAATATATCAATGGACATAATATATACAATGAGTTCATATATTTCAGCAGTGATGTCATAGGACGTCTGTAGTTTTGTTATACGACTGTAATTTGTGTGTCTGAGGGCTGTTTCCTCTCAGCTACCTCTTCACATAATGCAGCACACATCTGTGTGTGTGTGTGTGTGTGTGTGTGTGTGTGTGTGTGTGTGTGTGTGTGTGTGTGTGTGTGTGTGTGTGTGTGGGCACATGTCACTGCTGCATGTTATAAATAGCCCACATTCTCCCTGGATCCCAACACACACTGAATTAACCTGCTTAGACTGCCAATCACACACACACACACACACACACACACCATCCAATGACCGTGCAATCAGAGCAATAACACACACATTATCACAGTGACGCAATCTTATGCAGTAAACACAGGGGTCCTGTTTTCCAATGACAGACCGTGTTATGGGTTTACGTGCACGCGAATGATCCGTGCGTGTTGTGGCAGCGTGAATCCACAGCAGCAGGAAGATGGAGATGAGACCTGATAAAGTTCCAATTCCTTCACCGAATCCAGTTTGGAAAACTACTCATTTATAATTTTCTTCTATTTGTGAATAAATGACCGTGTCATGTTACACAGATTTCCATCGTTGTTCATGAATACCTTCCTATAGTTAATTCGGGATACTTATTTTATGCAAAACATAACTTGATTAAGATTAAATATCAACTTCTTTCATTGTTAGACACTACTCGCTGCCGCCCTCCGAGGGGAACTTCAGCAGGAGATTATATGGGGATTAACAGGAATACCAGTTACAAAAGTTGACATATCTTTTTAAACACTGCTGCTTGGTGTGTTGACTGCCAGCCGAAACCTATTAAACATGACGCCCATTCATTATAATATGAAATATTATGTTAGAGGATATGCACGTTTGCAGGAAAACAAAGAATCCCTTAATTGTGCAGCATACTGAACGCAGTATGGCGCCTTGGTTTTTCCTTGAAATTCAATGCAATACGATTCTTCCACGTATCCACAAAGCAACACTGGGGTTAACAAATCATTCTTCATCATCATCATCCTCACTCCAGGCAAACATAACGCAGGGATCCGCAGTTTTCCCTTCGCCAAAGCAAACGACCGTGAGAACCTGTACGGTGTCGTAACCGCTTCCAAACGATTACGCAAACGGTTACGAAAACGGTTACGAAAACGCAAAATCAGCCCCAACTCTTCCAGCTGCACAGAAACATAGAGACCCCGGTTCTCCCCCTCATGAGCATGAACCTTTGATCTGGAAGAATCTGGAAACATTTCAAGAACCAGAGAGGTGCTTAACTTTACAGCGCGCCGGGCACTGCGCACGTTAACCCGGCGAGGGGACCCACGGATCCCCCGGGCTAAACCCACGGTGCCGCGGAGAGCAGTTTATAACATAAAGAACATCACGCAGCTCGGATGTGTCACAGTTTCATCTTTATTCAACATCCTCCTTCGATTCTATGAGAAAAACCACCAAACGTACAATCCACCGAGCTGCGCCGCGCGTCCTCAAAAATACGCACAGGTTTTATTTTCTGCTTTAAAAGCTGAGCGACAACAACCATGGATGAAGAATCATGAAGTGTGAACATCACAACAGTCCCCGGGAAGAGTCCACGCGTTCGGGTTCGCACCACGTGTCCACGTCTCCGGCACTGACACGAAAACTTCCCTGAAGAATGCGTCAAAAGTTTCCAGACCGCGCTGTGAATACCAAATAATCCGCCCCCGAGCGGCAGCGCACCGGCTGCTCTGCGCGTCCGGTACCGGCACTAACGCGTTTATTCGTTTAATCCGTCGTTTCCTCGTCGCCCCGCACTGATGACAGTTCCTCCAGAAAACACGTGAAAGCCAGACGTCAAGACCGAGCAGACGCGCACACACACACACACCGGTACGCCGGGTCGTAGTGAGCCAGAGAGATGCTGCCTGCAAGCCGGGAGAAAGCCTCGCATCAACCGGGCGTAGCGTGCGCCACAGCCGGCGACGCGCAAAGACGCACCCCGGCCTGCAAAGCCCAAAGTCCCGTGCGTCCATAGAGGCCGGGCTCTTACCTGGCTGCCGGAGTTTTCTGTCAGGTAATTGAAGACAAAGGACGAGAGTTCCTCATCTAATAGTGGAGCGCAGTCCGCCATCTTCTACTGAATGAAGAGCCGTGGAGTCAGAGAGCGGAGTATAGGAGGAGGAGGAGGAGCAGTGGGGGCGGGCAGCCTCCAGGGGGCGCATCTGTTTACACACAGAACCACACCAAGACGTTAAGAGACCTCCAGGGGCCAATGCACCGACTCCAGGGGCCCCCTCAATAAAAAGAGCATTCATTTAAACTTCCACTCAATCAACTGGAGGTTCATCACAGTTAATTAAATACAGTCATTTCAATAAATTATAATTATTACTTGTAATTACAGGTAAAATCTGATTTCATATATAATCTCCTGGATTTTATAAGAAATTTTGTTGTATCCATGATGCATTAATTCAGTTATACAGCTGCATTGTATCGTCTGCACAGATAGAAAACATAAAGCCTCCATCTCCTACCAGTGGTACGAGTGTAAACTTTAAAGCCTCCCAAAGGCAGAAGGGATTCTCAAGTGATTTTTGACATTTAGATATTTCCTCACAGTTATAAACCTCCATATGTGGCACCTGAGATCAGCTGTTCAGGCTGCAGTACAGGGGGTAGAGAGGGTTGTCCACCAGGCACAGTGGATTGGTTTGATCCCTCCTCTACTCTAGTTTCTGAAGTGTCTTTTGGAAAGATACTGAACCCTCAATCTAAATTGACGTCTGTGTCGACTCTGTGTGAATGAGAGAAGAAGCTGCTTGGAAGCGCTGCATGAATGAGACCTAAAAAGAAAGTTTGGTGCTGTTCTTATCCAGAGTGGGTTCCTATCACAAAGGGTCTGCTTGTTCAGGACGCACCACGCTGCCTTTGTTTTGAGAAGCACAGTTAAAAGTGTCCGAGCTTCTGTTGCTGGGAAACTGCAAAACCTGCCTTTGTCAGTCATTTAGTTACAAAGCTGATGAAATCACCATTGAAACACCATGATGCAAGTTGATGCTGTGAGTGCTGACATGAGATGGAACAATGAACAAAAACTTTTCTGTTTTAATGAGGGTGTAAAGTTTGGTCCACGCTGCAGGAGAATTGATTAAGAGGTGCAGTGATGTGGAGCCTTGTAGCTCACCTGGTTGAGCAGACGTCTCTGAGCCCTTTGAAGCAACTCTAGTCCTTTGTTGCATGTTTCTCCTGCTTACTTTGTCCGATCAATAAGCACAAAATGCCCAAAATATATTTATAAGTGCAGCATCGAGGGGTGATTTTCAGGTTTGAACCTTTCCCGAGGTTTCATCCACCAATGAGGTTATGTCTTTACCGCAAACGATTTCATTTTGACACGTATCCAGACAAAGGGACGGAACAAGGATATTAAAAAAAAAAAGTGAGACAAGAAAAATCAACAGTTCACAACCAACCAATTGTATTTCACTGCACCTTTATCTACAAAGTGAAGCTTGCACACCCTAATTCCTGAATGTTGGCTCACCAGAACCAAACTTCACCAGGTTATCTCAGAACACACAACATTGGGCAGAAAGCTAAACCCCGTCTCACAGCACAAACACAGAGGAAATGAATTAGCATCAACCCTGTGACTCCTGTTAGCGACAAACAGTATGTGCAAAATATAAAGTTAGACATTTTGACGAGTACTTGCCGCTTTTATTTGTGCTTCGTTTAACCAGGAAGGTCCCGTTAAAGTACATCATCTCGTCTGTCAGAGTCCTGGTCAAGAGGAAGTTTCAAATATAAACACAAGCCAGGACAAATACAAATACTAAAACACATCACACTGATTAAAAACAAAGTACATGCAGGAATCAGTGGCTAAAATAAATGATAGAAAATAAAATGTGAAAACAAAGACATGACCATGCCAGTGGAAGGACGGTGTCAAACAAAGCGTTGATCGTTGCAAGTGACTCAAATTAGATTTAAATTAAATAACCAACAAAACGATCAACCGGAGATAATGGCAGAATTGATGATTATTGATTCTTCGGGTTGAATTTTGCAGTTTGCATCAAAAACGTTTCCTGCTGTTTGAATCTCACCTCGTGTGACCTGAGCTGCACTTCTTCCTCGTTCCTCTGCTGTTGTGTCATCATTTGAGGAAGACATCATTAATTCTCACCTCTCAGTATTGATTCCTGCACATGTCTGAACTCAAACCAGAGCTGTTTGCTGCTGCCTGTATGGCATGTTTGTGCGACGCAAACATTTTAGTATGAAACACACACACACACACACACACACACACACACACTGTGTGCAGTCCTCACCTCTTCTTACATTAACCTTTAACTTATTTTCATGGTTCTGATCCTTGTGTCTGTCTGTGACAACAACACTGCTCACTTCCCCTCAAGGTGAAGTTTACTAACTGAGAACTGCGGTGGCAGAAGTCTGACGGGTAGAGAAATGCAAGGCGTCAGTTGATCAAACAGGTTTTTAAATAAAGCGGGTTTGCCAAACTTGTTTTGTTTCAACAAACACCACCCACCAACGTCCTCAAATCTACATACTGAGCGTCTTCATGCTGAGGGTCTTCTCTAAATCCAGTGGCTCAGATCATTTGGCTGAAATTGTGGCTTGTTTAAAATCTGCCTGATGGTCTGACACATCTTTTTTTTTTCTCCCATCACAGATTTTCTAAATGTCATCCACGCTTCGGGTGAAACGATGTGATTAAAACGTTAAAAAGAAAAAGACAATGAAAAAGGGAACAAAGTTGTCCCGGGTATTAACTGTGTCATTCCCCTTCTCTCTCATTTTCACATTTCCAATTTCTCTGCACCTTTGCTACCTTTGCTATATTGAAGCTAAAACAATAACTTGTTATACGAGTATAAAAATAAACCAGCTGGCTATGTTTGCATGTTTTCTGGCAGGCGGTGTCACAGGTGAAAGAAGAGGCCGACGTTACTAGAATGCAAACACACTGTTACAGACTGGCATTCGAGAGATGTCCTGTTCTTATGTTACCACATATGATATTTACATCGTCTGATCTCAGAGGAGCTCGACACAAAATAACCTTCAACTTCTAAATCGTCAGTTTCAGTGGGTCAAAGGTCAGAGGTCAGACAGCAAATACATGCATTCATATTCCTGCGGTGGTTTGTGGATCAGTGAAGTGAGCTGCAGCAAGAGAGGCACGATTTTTAAACTTTGTACAACAGCTGAGTTGACGTAAATAAAACATGTTCAAAACTAAGACGCACCAAGATGCCGTGTTGAAAAATACAAACTCCACAGGGAAGCAAACAACTCCGTGCACTTTTTAGATTCGGTTACTTGTGTGCACAAACAATAAAAAGCTGAAGGGGCAAGGGAAGAAAGACGAAATGTGCCGAAGAGACGAGGAAGTGCCACGGGGGCTCGCGAAAAACAAATGTCTGTACCCAAAAGAAAACTCAAGAAGACAAACAGGCTATAAGCTGCAGAAACCCAGGCGGTGTTACTGCCTCACTATATCACAGTGAGCTGCAGCGGACCACCACAAACCAAAACAATCCAGCGCTCCTCGTCGTAAACTGAGATGATGTGTGTCTTAGCAGCATCCAGGCCATCCAAGATGACATTTCAATAATGTTCAGTCCCCAGGGGTGCGGCCGCCCAACCAAAGACAAGGCCGCCATCTGAGGTCAGAGCAATGCTGAGCGGGGCCGGTATGTGTCGGGTGGTCTCAGAGGCAAAGACACTATTTCATCTAAGCGGACATTCCAATAATAATCCAGGTTATGTCCTCGGCCCCCCCCCCCCACCGCTTTGATATTGGCTGATCAGAAAATAACTCAGTGTTGTAAACACAGGGAGCTTCTGAACCCCGCCAACATGCAGGGGTCAGGCTGACCTCCGATGACTTCAGATAACTTCAGGGATAATTGGAATTTCCAGTGCTCGTACTCACAGGAAGTGAAAGTTTTGATTTTGCTTGACAGGATGAATTTATTTTGCATGTTTGTCAATTTTGTGGTGCAATTTTCTCTGGACATTTATTTTTAAAGAATCTAAATCTTAAAGACAAACAAGGGAAGAAAAAGAGAGGCAAATTGCAAAGACATGTCACGATGTCTCACTTGTTTTTGTGCTGCAGTTGGTTGAACTTGATTTTGTTGGTGCTGTCTGACTCCAGCCCAAACCTCCTGCCACAACAGATCGATACACACAGAAATGCTCCATGAGAAAATATCTGGTTCTGTGACAGGGGAGAGGTGAGGTGACACAATATCAAAAAAAAAAAAAAAAACCTGTCCTGCCAAAAAACAAACGTACCTCCGTCGCCTGGAGATAGAGGTGCTGCAAATAGGGATGTGGGTGCGGTGCCTTCAGGACCCAGATGTCCCGCAGCTACGTCCACAGCAGGTTTCATGTCATTCTGAGCAGTGACACCTATCAGCCAAAGAAAATGATCGTCCTCGGGCCCGGCTGCCGGATGTGCAGTGATTATTCGGTTCAAAAACAGGGGATGTTTCTACCTACTTTATGTTGACTCATTCCAGGACCTCAGTCAGAGGCTGAGAGGAATCCAGTCATGAAAGAAGCATGTTCCAGATATAAATATCCAGGGCAGGGGGCTTCATCGATACATCGTAATCTAGACAGGCAGCTAGTCGGTCATCTAAAGAGGCAAAAAGTTTTCTTCTACATGAACAAAAGTTACTGTTGCGATGCTTCTTCAGGTTTGACTGTGAATGTAAAAGTTTTGAAATGAAAAAGCTAAATGTCCGACATGAAGAGAGAAAACACTGCAGCTCCTGAAACACCTCGTTAGTCATCATGTGGGACATCGTGATTTCAATAACAAACCCAGGTAAAGTGAGAACGGAGGACGACATCTCTAGCACGAGCTGGAAGCTGTGACCAATCACAACCAGCTGGCCAATCAGAGCACACTGGATTCATGAGCCTTAAAGAGACAGGCCGGTGTTTGAGACAGAGGCTGAAAAGAGGAGCTGCAGATATCGACTTTTGAGGAAAGTGATGTTTCAAGTAGTAAAAGAATATTTCTAAGATTAGAATGATGTGTTTTGGCATCATGTGTTTCTTGGGGCTCTGGTTTGGTTC